GAAATTAATATTTTACATCTTAGCAAATTATAACAAATCCCAAAAAGTTCACGATTTGAAAATCTCTGACGCCTATATATTTCACTTTTCCTTGTATCTCAGAGCTATTAACTAGAAAAATAAAACATGTAAATATGTTTTCACTATTCACTATGTACTGAGCCCGGGCGTCATCGCCAGGTTAATGGCAAGACCAGTACATCTTCAGATGCGAATTGAATGAAGGAAAAAAATCTACAGAGGACAGTTTTCTATATCAGAGAAGATCTTCCAAAGCAGGACCTTAACACTCTAGCAGTGGGTGCTTTGACAGGCTTGACAGAACAAGAATGTATTGTTTCGTGTGGGCAAATAACCTAATAGCAATAACTGAATTTGAAGATCTGTGGAGAAAACAGCACCATCACGACAAGCAAGTTTATCTGATACTACTACTCAATGAGGAAAGGATATTACTTTACTACAAATTTATAAGTTAAAAAACATTGACTTTCAAGTATTAAAGTAGTTACTGACAATATGATAACTTTACAACAATAGTTTTCTAAAAAATAACAAATGTTGCCCTGCAAACAAAATTCCAAACTTTGCTGAATGTAATATTTATCCCTAATACAGGATATTTACCCTCAAAGACACAGTCCCATGAGAACCACTACAGCCACTGTGTGCCTCCGTGTGTAGTACTTTACAATAAATATGTAAATGACTACAGCTATACTCATAACTTCATTATTACAACTTTTTGGACAACCCCATCGGTCATGTGATGTACTTTGTGTGATTCATCTTGTCGACAGTGACTGAAGTCTTGCAACGTAGATTTTCCACATCATTGCAGCTGGTTGAAACCAGCACCAGACAAACATTTACATTTGAATAATGTGGATTAAGCGGAGAAATACCTAACCTCGAAGCACTGTATTACCATCATATACAATACATAAGTGTTTAGGCGGGTGAGTATAGCTCCATGAATACAACAAAGGGACATAACTCTGGCGTATGATCTGCTGCACAAATTACAGTCACGTTCTTTCATAGAACAATACACTTGAAAGTAGGGGGTCGTGAAATATTTATGTTGGTATCAAGAAAGATAAATGTTGACGACTAATTAACATGCAAGGTGAAACTTTACACCAAAACACATCAACGGCACAGGTACGTAAGGAGTGATTCCTGATTTTGACACCTTCCAAGAAGGTCCATTAATCTTTCCGTACCATTTTCAGTTTGTCTGTGTGTCTAATCATACAGTTGCAATTCATTTGATTTCATTCATTGTTTGTGTTAACAAGCAATGCGCGTGTGAAATGCGCAGAACGTGTTAGGATATGTGCATTCTTGAAACATGAAGAAGTCATCATGCAGCATATACTTTAAGTGTTTCAAAGTTCGTGATTTGCAGGTTATAGAACGGATAGAAGCAAACAAAAGGTCGACACGATCGACACTAGTTAGTGCTCCTAAGGTGAACAACAAGACACCAGGATCTGATTGATCAGACTATTAGAAATCGTCCACCTGCAGCTCATAACATACGCGACGGCCGGGTAGAAGTGCCGTTCTTTAGAAATTGTGTCGTTGCCAACACATGCAGTTGCATACACAATGTCGAAACAGGGTAATAGTCGCTGTTCACGTGTCATGTCTAGAGGTTTGTACCGATCGGTTTGGATGTCCATTATAGGTAGGACATGTCTGGCAACGTTGAAATGACAACCAGGCAATGTCAGTCTTAAGCCTCATGGCAGATTTGTTGTCGATCGGTTATGATGTGTAGCAAATCTCACTGGGATGTTGTGCAAGTAAGAGTCACTTGACAGTACTATCGGGACAACCTGCTTACAGCGCTTGTTGTCCCTTTGTCTTTACAGACGACAACACACGTGCTTACTGAACACAAATAGTTAATGCTCACCCCAGCATCACACCATCCAAAGAATACCAGGGCCGCAACGAGACCAGATCTGTACGCAATTGAACATTTCTGGGACATGATAGGTTGACGTGTGCATCAAAGTCACAGGCAGCCCACCACATTGACTAAGAATTTAAGCAAAATTCACATTCACGTCAAATGTACACATGTTTGCTTATGTCTAACCAAATAACCACCATCATCATCATCATCATCATCATCATCATCATCATCATCATCATCATTTATTCCGTATAGATGGCCATGAGGCCAACAGTACAACATGTGTAAAAGTATGAGTGAACATACATACTGCGCCACAAACAAAATTCATTTGAATTGGTGAACAAATAGATCAGTTTATACATATTTGGGTGGTAATAATAATATTCTGGAATATATTTGATGCGCAAATCGTTATACGCTAGGCATACCAGAATAACATGAAGTTCATCTTCTATCTGTGTTTTATAATATGAACAAGATGTGTCTGTTTTTTATAATATCTATAGGAATTCATATTGAAACCATGCATATTACAACGCAGCATTGTTAGGCATCTCCGTAAACTGGAATTATTGATTGAGAAATATTTCTCAGGATATTAGACAGTTTTATATGGATAATTCATTGCTCCACTCTTGGAAATATACATCTTTACATCGGTGCTGAAACATTTCTAGAAAGTAGGTTTTATCTTTTTAATATTCTGAGCTATCCATATATAGCCAAAACCATATTTGCAAAGCAGTTTCCCTACTTTCGAAACCCAGTTTTCGTCGCCATATTGGTCAAATGTTTTTAATATTTCACTTCCTGGTATTTCCCTACGGTGGTTGGCGAAGAAGCCTGATCCAAAATGTAATTAATCCAACATTGGCGTACAAAGATAACGGATATCGCCCGCAAGTAGACGTTACTTCTAAGTCTTCGTCCTTAATGAACCATTTTTCATGTTGAGATAGGGTTCTACCATTTGTGAAAACTACAACTTTCGTTTTCTTAGAATTTATTACTAATCCCCATTTCCTTTTATAAAACAGTATATGCAGATATTGCAACATCATCTGCAAATAGCAGTATAGATAAAGCTTGTAGAGATTTATCAGTGAATATGCAACTGGTATCAGATATCATTTGCAAGTTCATCAATATATATCATATAAAGTGCTGGGAACAATGTGCACTCCTGTCGCACTCCACATGATGTGTTAAATACAGCAGTCATTGTCAAATTATTGTATCGTTCAGATGCTTTTACATTCTGGTAAATACTCTTCAGTAAATTATGCATCTTTACATGAATACCTCTTTGTAATAACAAACACATCAATTCCTGTGTACAGAGTCGAATGCTTTTTGAAAGTCGACAAAGATACCGTAAAATGTGCCCCATTTCATTCTTTTATACTTATGAGTTACTGAATGTAGGATAAAAGCTTGGTCGCTAGTGGTATAACCTTTTCTGGGATTCAGAAATGACATCTTGTGTATCCATCCAATACCTAATTCTGTCATTTATAATCGTTAAAAAGACTTTGCTGATTACATCAAGTATTACAATTCCTCTATAGTTTCCTGAATCAGCTTTGGCCCTGACTTATAAAGAGGTAATACTAACCATAAAGTCCACGGTGATGGAAAGGATCCTGTTTCAAGAATTCCATTAAATAACTTGCTCCATAGGGGTAGAATAGTGTTACATATTTCTTTTAATGCTTCTGCGGGAATGCCATATTCCCCTGGCTCCTTGCCATTTTTTAAATGTGTTATCGCCCGTAGAATTTCCTTGTCTGTAATTGTGGTCGCATTTCTGTATCACTCACACTACAATGTTCACACACCTCTATATTGTGATTTGAGAGAAAGCTTTCATGATCATTAAAATCATTACTAAAGTTTACATCTGGATTAAGAAGTTGTTTAAAGTATTCATACCATGCTTGTGGTGTAATATCCTGTTTCTCATCAAGAGTAATTTGACAGAAACACTTAATACTTTTTTAAAATCTAGTAAATTGTTCATCTTTAGCAGCATCAATAATATCAGCGAGTAACATTTCATCATATTTTGTCTTTTTGTCGTGACAAACTCTTTGGAATTCTCTCTTGGCATCAAGATATGTTTTGAAATGTACACTGTTGTCTGTTTTCCTGAATTTATTTAAAAGATTATATTTATATCTCTTAAGTGCTGACTTTCACTGTCAAACCACTTGGGTTGCTGTTTATATGTTTTGTTCATTTTGGTTATACTCATGTTGTCACGTGGGTATATATCTATGACAGCATTAAATCAGTCACCAAATAATGAGTTTATCCTATTGTAACCAAATTACGTTTAAAAGCATAATGTTTTTGGCAAACTCACATGTGACTAATGGATAAGTAATTAGAGTTAACATAATTTGGTTTGAAAATATATGTATATTTAACAAAACACACAAACGAAGACCTAACTTAGACTGACTGACTGAGTGAGTCTAGTTTTCGCCGCTTTTAGCAATATTCCAGCAATATCACGGCGGGGGACACCAGAAATGGGCTTAACACATTGTGCCCATGTGGGGAATCGAACCCGGGTCTTCAGCGTGACGAGCGAACGCTTTAACCACTAGGCTACCCCGCCGCCCCACCTAACTTAGATGCTGAAAGAACAAAATAAATGCTCGTGTATATTTCATTTGAATTGAAATGTTTGAGACCTACGACAACTACTATGAAGTAAATGTTATTGAAACACAAACAACACATGGCAACAATCTTTGCATGTTTTCAGATGTAAATAACTTAATAATTGAGTGAGTAGGTTGATCTCTACAACGCTTTATGCAATATTCCAGCAATATCACGGCGGGGGACACCAGAAATAGGTTTCACACATTGTACTCATGTGGGGAATCGAACCCGGACACCGGCGTGAAGAATGAACGCTTATACTAACGCCCCTGTAAATGTTTAAGATGAATGAATAAGATGCATATGTTTTAGATACAATTTACATACATTTTTAAATCTTATGCAATATCAGTGATTATACACAAACAAGGTACAAAAGGCAGCCAATCCAGTTTACCTGAATAACGTAGTGTTGTTTTGAAGAGGTTTTCAACTTATCTCAACTTGTTCCTGGATATCGTTTAGGCGGCTCGCAAAGGTGTGGGCTAAGTCTCTGGGTAGAACCACTTCCATAACATTGAACTACCACGTAACATGAATCTTCAGAGACGCCCTGAACCTTTAGAGGTCACGTGAATATCCATAGCCCAATGTGTGAATAAGAGGGAAATGTTTTTGACGCTTAGAGGTCACATGAATAAATTTAGGACGTTAACAGGGCTCTAATTGGACGGAAATTGCCCCTTTGTCAAAGATAGATGTTTTTGTCCCATTACAGTAAAGATTGGCTGTTTGTAAGAGCTAAACAAAGCCCGTCTTCACAAATATGGTTCATACAGGTTCCTTCTTTTGAATTCCTTTTTGTACTGCCAACGTCACCTATTCACTCTATGGTTCTGGCAAGTCACACCCAGTGCACACAGTACATGTGTCTATTCACGGATGACTCTTAAGGTCAAGCCTGTTTACTTCACCCATGCAACAACGTCGTCTGGGTTTATAAAGTAACGTTCCTTTCATAGCGATTCAAGACAGATCTAGGTCATCGTATCTATATCTGGAAGTCATTACTACACTTTGTTTGCTTCATTAAGTGTCGGGTCGTGAATTGCATTGGCGCATTGGAACAAACTTTGACTAACTGACGTTTCTGGCCTGTGACATCGTGCATATATTTGCATATAAATGAATTGCTGTGCATGTTAATCTTGCTCCCGAGCTCTAAGGAAGGTAGCTAGACCAGTCTCCCTACTACCGTGATCAGACTATAAATAACACCCAGCCAATCTTAGCCTTAAGCCTTATGACAGATTTGTTGTCGGTTGGTTATGGTGTGTAGCAGATCTCACTACGATGTTGTGCTAGTAAGAGTCACTTGACAGTACTATCGGGACAACCTACTTACAGCGCTTGTTGTCCCGCTTGCAAGTCGTGTGGGTGGATGTTTCGTCTTTCAGAACGACCACACAGGGAGCCCACCACATTAATTTAGCTAAGCATTTAAGCAAAATTCACATTCGCGTTAAAGGTACACACGTTTGCTTATGTCTAACCAAATTACGTTTGGAAGCATAATGTTTTGGGGCAAACTCACATGTGACTACAGGCTAAGTAATTGTAGTTGACATAAGTTTTTTTAAAAAATTATGTATATTTAAAAAAAACACAAACGAAGACCTAACTTAGATGCCGAGAAAACAAATATATTCTCGTGTATGTTTCGTTTGAATTGAATTGTTTGAGACCTACGACAACTACTACCAAGTAAATGTTAGTGAAACACAAATAACACCTGGCAACAATCTTTACATGTTTTCAGATGTAAATGATTTAATGATTGAGTGGGTAGGCTGAATTTTACAACGCTTTTTGCAATATCACGGCGGGGACACCAGAAATGGGCTTCACACATTGTACCCATGTGGGGAATAGAACCCGGCCACCGGCGTGAAGATAGAACGCTTATACTACCACACCGCCCCTGTATATGTTTTAAGATGAATGAATAAAATGCATATTTTTCTATACAATTTACATACATTTTAAAATCTTATGCAATATCAGTGATTATACACAAACAAGGTACAAAAAGGCAGCCAATCCAGCTTACCTGTATAACGTAGTGTTGTTTTGAAGTGGTTTTCAACTTATCTCAACTAGTCCCTGGATATCGTTTAGGCGGCTTGCAAAGGTATGAGCTGAGTCTCTGGGTAGAACCACTTCCATAACATTGAACTACCACGTAACATGAATATTCAGAGACGCCCTGAACCTTTAGAGGTCACGTGAATATCCATAGCCCAATGTGTGAATAAGAGGGAAATGTTTTTGACGCTGAGAGGTCACATGAATAAATTTAGGACGTTAACAGGGCTCTAATTGGACGGAAATTGCCCCTTTGTCAAAGATAGATGTTTTTGTCCCATTACAGTAAAGATTGGCTGTTTGTAAGAGCTTCCAGGTGACATGAATATTCAGAGACGCCCTGGACTTTTAGAGGTCATGTGAATATTCATAGCCCCAATATGTGAATAAGACGAAAATTTTTTTTTGACGCTGAGAGGTCACATGAATAAAATTGTGATGTTAACAGCGCTCTGCTTGGACGGAATTTCCCCCTTTATCCAAGAAGATAAACTATTTTAAGGATTCGCTATTTGTGAGAGCTAAACAAATTCCATCTTACAAGATTTGCTCACCTATATACATATTTATAAAGGTGCAAACATGGTGTCTGGAGACGTGTTCATACAGGTTCCTTCTTTTGAAATCGTCTTTTTAACTGCCAACGTCACCTATTCATTCTTTGGTTCTGGCAAGTCACACCCAGTGCACACAGTACATGTGTCTATTCACGGATGACTCTCCGGGGGCAAGTCTGTTTACTTCACCCATGCAACAACGTCGCCTGGGTATATAAAGTAACGTTCCTTTCATCGTGATTCAAGGCAGATCTAGGTCATCGTATCTATTTGGAAGTCATTACTACACTTTGTTTGCTTGCTGCATTAAGCGTCTGGTCGTGAATTGCATTTGCGCATTGGAACAAACTTTGACTAACTGACGTTTCTGACCTGAGACGTCGTGCATATATTTGCATATAAATGAATTGCCGTGCATGGTAATTTTGCACCTGAGCTCTAAGGACGGGTAGCTAGACCAGTCTGCCTACTATCGTGATTGACAATATTAATCATGCTATTTATACTGTTTGGTGTAGTGGTGTACTCCTCACCCCTGTTTATCAGTGTTTTGTATGGTAGAGAATCTTTGTCTGCTGTAAACTGAGCACTCCGTCATGTCACTTTGTGTCCCTGTTTGAGGCGGTTTTATAACAGTAACATTATCCTGTATTTTCAGCTTTTGTATGAGCCCTTTAAACATAGATTAAAACTTGGACTAAGATGTATATGTAAAGTTATTGAAATAGTATTTATTTAAAATAGTAAAAAATAAATAGTTTAAATAGTAAAAGGAAACAGTAATGCGTCAGAATTTGTCCTGAATTAGCCACAAACAATAATGCGACAAGTTTGTGAACATTGGCTCATTGTCATGGTCGGCACAATACCTACATAAACATGTTTCCAGTAACCAGTTAGATCAAACGTCAACAGGAAAACATCCTACCAAAGGTGATAGGCAAAACAAGTCACGATAGCATGTCCAACACATCTCAGTGCGTTCGAACCAACTGCTGCAACCACAGCTTGGCACTGTCGTGTCATGCTCCGAATAAGTATATGAATGGTTTCCAAGTGAAGACTGTTTCTTTCTGCAGAGGAACACAATGCATGGTTCCTGCAGAGTTGCCGAAATAGGCAGGGCGTCACAAGAAGAGCGATCGGTTCCACGTGTGTGGGAGAACCAACTCCCCTGCACAGGAAAGGTTTTCCAAGTTAAAAAGGTTCCCCAGAGAAAACAGTTCTTAAGACCAATTTCACTGATATGTTTCGACAGTTTATGGGCAAGGGGCTTGTTTTGTAGTCACACGACGTTCGTACATAAGTACCTGTGAGTGGAACGAACAAAAGCAAAAGGAGTTGCGATTGTGTACGCATTTTACATGTATTTAAAATTGTTATTAGTTGTTAATGGCGAGGTCCTTAAAAACTTATGAATTAATAATTCCCACACACCGAGGCACTGTGTTCTGGAGACCTTTGGTCTGATATTACAATCATTCTGAAGCGTGGAGCTGACGAGTTCATACGACAGTTTCTGGTGTCTGTTTCTGGATCACAACGTCTTTTCGTGTTATTTTGATGGCATCCATAGTTGAAAGTTCAGCACTGTGCCAGATGACGACCTTCACCCTGCATCTCATCTCTCCAGTTAGACGTCGGATCTGCTAAAGCATGATACTGATTCCCGTCTTTCTCACACACTCGGTAGAGGAGGATCCCGTGCCCGTATACCACAGCTTAAGATGTGCACTAGTAGATTCAGATCTCAGTTTCATATTATAGAAGTAAAAAATGATAGCAATCTCATGTATATAAGGCATTCTGTCCTATGACATCATTATAGGGTGAAATATAGTGGCATCAATATGGCACAGAGGTCATGCTGCATGTGCATGGCACGGTTGGTCCTTACTAAGGAATTATTCTTGTCATAATCATAAGGGGGATGTTTTTGGCTTGGTGAACAATGCTGGGAGAGCGAGTCTCTCGCGCCCTTACCAATAAACAAGTGCAGTACAACAAAATAATGCTGTAAACTTGGAGACTTCAGCAAAAGTCATGTGAACTTGTTCTCAAAACTCCATGTCTGTAATATTGCCGGTTTGATTGTAACACATGGTATGTTGCTGTTTTCGTCAGTATCAGTGGATGTTCCTATAGGTTGAGGTCGAAACATTTTGTTTCCGGATACGTGGCTTGCAACACGATCAGGATCATGTAAGCAAACACTGGGAAATTCCCATATTGTGAAATTGAACCACTTTTAATCAACACGCGCAAAATAGGCCACACGTATCACCTGCTTGGGCATAATGGAGGCTCTATGACCAACAGGAGCACGAGCTAAGGGTAATATTGTAAGTGTTCTTTGTTTTACAGTTGCATCGTTTCACTGTGGTGTTTCCTGGTGGCAAGTGTCTTGGTTAAACATTTGTTCATTGTTAACCTGTTAGTTATCAAGATAAAGCTTATGTGATTCTTGTTCGGGAATAGCCGATTTCTGGTCGAGTTTGTTGACATATGTCTGGTGTTCCATTGTAAGTGACTTTGTTTTACATGTACTTATAAACATATCGGTTCGCTAAAATGTATATTCATCATATAACAGAAGCTGAAATCCACAAATGTTCGCCCTTTATGGTTCAGTTATTCAAGATATGAGTTGTTAGGGTGTTTTTCTTTCCTGTATGCATATTTTAACATCAACACTGTCGGGGTACGACTGCATAGGAAAACCTGTGCCAAAAAATGATCTGAGTGAGTGAGTTAAAATTGAAAGTCACATCTGCAGTATTTCGGCCACATCGTGACTAGAAAATGAATACACATATAGAATCCTGCCATCAACGGGCAGAAAGTATCTAGACTATCACAGATGCTTTTTGTAAACTAGTATTTTACCATAGTCATTGGTGCATCTATGGCACA